ATTTATAATAATATTAATAATGAGAAATTCAAGCAAAAATTGCATAACCATGATTGGTCAAAACTTTATGCTTCCACGGATGTAAATTCAGCATATTCTATATTTTATGATGACATTTATAATGCATACAATGAATCATTCCCTATTGTTAAGAAAAAAGTAAAATATTTTAATGATAATAGTCGACCATGGTTAACATTAGGTATAATAACATCTGCCAAGACAAAAAATAAATTGTATTACAAATATCTTAAATCACCTACTCTTTTAAACTTGAAAAAATACAAGGACTTTAAAGCTAAATTAAGATCAATATTGAGAACATCGGAGGGGTCATTTTATAGGGAAATACTCCAAGCTACTAATGGTAATATCAAAAATACTTGGAATGTTATCAATGAAATACTGAAAAAGAATGGAACAAACACCAAGCCCCAATTAGATTTTGACCTAGATGGACAAATTATCCATGATCCAAAGGAGGTTGCTAATATGTTTAATGGTTTCTTTTCAAATGTAGGGAGGAAACTTAATGATGAAATTTTACCAAGTAAGAAATTTTGGTCTGAATATATGAATCAACAACTTAGAAATAACAACAATTTTACCTTTTCAAACATTAATCAAGATGAACTTCTTCAAGAGATGTCAAATTTAAAAGATTCCTCGGCCTCAATTGATGAGATAAAACCTATTGTAATCAAGAGAAGTAAAGATGAAAATATTAATCCATTATTATTTATTTACAACAAATCTTTAACTGATGGCTGTTTTCCTGACCTGATTTCCTTTCTTAAGCTTGCAAAAGTTATACCTTTATTTAAGAAGGGAAATAGAAATGTCTTTACGAATTATAGACCTGTATCTATTTTGTCAGTTTTTTCTAAACTTCTTGAAAAACTAGTTCATAAACGTCTTTATCAATTTATCGAAAATAATCAAATCCTTTACTTACAACAATTTGGATTTAGAAAAGACTTCTCTACATATATGGCAATCTTAACTTTTGTTGAAAATATAAGAACAGCCTTAGAAAATGACGAGTATTCAATTGGACTTTTTCTTGATCTTTCAAAAGCGTTTGACACGTTAAATCATGAAGTATTGCTTAAAAAATTAGAATTTTATGGGATACGAGATAAGTCCTTCAATTTTTTCAAATCATATTTAGCCAATCGTAAACAAGTAGTCTTTTATAATGGAACTTCATCTGAAGTTAAATCAATATCTCATGGAATACCCCAAGGATCGGTTCTAGGGCCGCTCTTATTCATCTTATATATAAATGATATGTATTTGGCATCTCCCACTTTGAAATCAGTTTTATTTGCTGATGACACCAACATTCTTGCACATAACTCTAATATAGACCTACTTGTTAATAACCTTAATCGAGAACTTTTATCCCTGGATGATTGGTTTAGATCAAATAAACTATCACTCAACTATGATAAAACCAAATACATAATTTTCACAAAGAAGAAAAAGCAAATTAATAAAAATGTGAATACAAAAATTAATAATATCAATATTGAAAGGGTAAAATCAATTAACTTTCTTGGTGTTCAAATTGATGAATATCTTGACTGGAAACAACATATCAAGAATCTTGAAACAAAATTATCTTGTACAATTGGAATTCTATACAAATGCAGATATCTATTAAATGTACCAAGTATGTTGGCAATCTACAACTCATTGATATACTCTTATCTCAACTATTGTGTTATAATATGGGGCAGCAATTATAAAACTGCACTAGATAAGATTTTCAAAATTCAAAAAAGCTTTTTGAGATTGCTTGCTTTCAAAGATAGAAGAGCCCATACAGCTCCACTTTTTAAACAATTTAAAGTTTTGGATATTTACAATATCCACCTTCTTAACGTCGCCCAATTTGTATACAAATGGTACAACCGATTAACAGTGTTCCCACAACTTTTTGGTGATTTTTTCCAAATAAATGTTAACATTCACAATTATCATACCCGCCATTGTCAGGATCTACATGCTTTTGGATATTACACCAAAGTAGGATTTTTTTCCATTAAGATTCAAGGTCAATGGATATGGAACAGTATTGAAAGGCCAATAAGAGAAAGTTCTTCTTTGAATATTTTTAAGATAAGATACAAAAAGTATTTGATAGATAAAATTTCTTTAGATTAGAGTGTATATCACCAAATATATCATTCTGGGTCTTAAAGGCATTTAATTACAATTAATCATTTCCAGCAATATTTGTCCTAATATTATCATCATGCTTTCATACTCTACTTTATTTTTACTGTCACTCCCCCTGCTCCTACCCAACAACTATTGATGTGCTCTTATTTATACTTATTTATTTATTTGCGCTATTATTATATTCAATTTATGCTTATCAAGCAGTATATACACCTATTTTAGGTGTCCTCTGTAAGTAATTTGTATTTTGATTTATTGTTATATGAAGGAAATAAGAAATAAATAAATAAAAAATAAAAATAAAAAAAACTCTCCGATTGAAATAACATGACGTAAAAAATGATTTTCAAAAATGACCTTGTAGCTTTGTAACTTTACTGTTCACAAAGTAAAATAAACAGACAGCGTGCAAAAAGTTAGACAACTTAATTTTTTGCATCAAAATATTTCTCGGTGAATCTTTTACTGAATACGAGTATATATCCTGAAATCTGATTTGCCCCGAATCCACCATTATTTCGCTTGATTTTGGGAAGACCCCGGAGCATAATTTTTACCAAAGAATATCAACTATTTCGCACAATTTATTCTTGAACTTAAGCTTCTTCATCTAGGACAAAATAAATCACCCTGTGCAATGGCTTATCATTATTTTGCACGAATACTGTTGGAAGCCAGTTCGGATCAAATGCAAGGTTATTAAAAATTGCGCAGACACACTCCGAAAGATCTTCTATGATAACTTTTCACAACGTTTACACGAGGGCTTTTTAAACTATCCGGGATAGTCGTATTACTGATGAAAACATCTGTAATTCAAATAAGTATGTCTCGGTTATGCTTTGACGTGTCGCAAAAAGCTCGCGCACGCGTTGTTACACATTCTGTGGCGTAATCCAGAGGATCCTCGCTTTTAACATGATAGAATGTGACGTTTTTGAGAAAAATGTACACACATGAAAATCCTTTCGTCCTCCACATTTACCTCAATATCTCAAAACATTTTAGACGAATAACTCTGATATCATATATATATTGTTAATGGGCTAGGAGCATCATAAAACACGAATCAATTGATATTTTAGGTGAAATAAATATACGTGTTGCTGTGCTTGAAAATAGGCGAATGGCGTAAATTAGCCCTATTTTAATGAATTTTGAAAACCTTTCGTCCTCCACTTTTCCACATACAACAGAAAACACATACTTTTGTGAACAAAATCAACTATTTATTAATAAACTAGAGTTTAGGAGCAAAATAATCATGTATGATTTATTAAAAATTGATCTCGTATTTTTTGTTTAATGTACACCTGAAAAGTTGAAGGTACCAAAAAATGAGCAAAAAAGGTCGCTGTCAACAGATTCTATTTTTCAGACTCTATGACGTCACAATATGGGACGCTTACTAAAATTCATCCTTTGAAATAAAACTTCCATCTACCTTTATCAAGACGAAAAATAAGTATAATAGTCATATATTGTTTGAGTTATGAGCGTTTAAAGACGAAAAATAATTCAAAATGTAACGTGTCAACATTGGATATTTGCCAGATGTTTTGGTAAAAAACTCTTTTTTAAAAATCGAATGCGCAAAAATGTGAACGGAGTGTAGTTGATCTAAAATCTTCATCGAAACAGCTTTAAAATGATATATAACTTTACGCGATACCCTTAAAAAACAAATGCGCCACCTTTTTGCGACACGTCTTTGTTTTAAAAAAGTTAAAAATATTTCTTTGGACGTCGCCGGAGCTGGTAAGTCCCCCGGAGCAGATCAACTGCAATTGATAATAAAAACGTTTTGGTGGATATAAATCATTTATAAATACAAGCGATTGTTCGAATATGAAACGTATTTTGTTAAGTTCAGACGGCTTGATAACAAATTAGGCCTTCATTATTTGAATATTAATACCATATTGATTTTTCAATGTCTTTTATTATGTAATTTATTCACTAAACATATCATGACATTAAAATGATCCACCAACGTTTGATATTCGTAAAAATGGAGAGCAATAAGTAAACTGGAACGATAACAATTTGAATTTTATACAATCTCTAAGATGAGTGGAGTAAGTTTATCTGAAAAAACAAACCTATTTTTGCAATGATCCATTTTTCTTTGAGAAAGTGATGGGTAATAAATACTCGTTGGAACAAATGCTTGTGTTTATAAATGATATATGCTTTTAAATAATTCACTTCGCAAAGTTTTTATTATCTAACGCAATTGGTTTGGGGGACTGACTTGCCAGCCCCGGGGACGTCCCAAGAAATATTTTAGATTTTAATTGAAATAAAACAAAACAGAGATGTGCACATTTGAAAGAACATGTGTTTTATCAATATTAGGACTACTCCAGATATTTATTCGTGTAAATGTTGTAAACATCTTTCCGAGTATGGGACGTCTGCATTGGTTGATCAATAACTTTCAATAACTTCGTATTGGAGCAGAACTGGCTTAAAATAAAAGGGACTGATTTAGCCATTGCCCAAGATTGGTTATTTTGTCCGAGAAGAAACAATTTTTTAGTTAATTGTGCGAAATAATTTTTATTTCTAAATGTAAAATATCATGTTTTGGAGTCTTTTGGATCTCACCCCGTGCCTAAGGTTGCCAAATGTTTTGAGTGAAGCGTAACTTCACTATGGCATGTTTTTAACAAAACCACCGAACCCCCGCTGCCTACGGCTATGTTAATGAATACCAGATAATACCAAATAACTAGGGGAGCTATTCATTCTGTAGTGTCGTGTTAAAGGGAGAGGAAGTGTGTTTGAAAATTGTTTTCTGTTTGAGACAGGTGTTTCTATTGCTGAGAGATGAGTATATATGAAGACTATGAGAAGAGGGCAGCTGTGTATGATAAACACAGGGTTGCTGCAGGGGCTGACACACTCATTGGAATCTTACTTGGACAGACCAGGAAACCATTGTCACAGGTAACCAAATTATTAATTCAATGAAAATTTCAATCACTTAGTATCATATATCTTACATTTTAAAGCTGATAAGTCTAGAATAAGGTTGTTAATGAAATGTGTGCGTTTTTGTGATTTTTGTGACAATGATTCCTAAAAAGATGACAAGGGGTAGTGTTAGACGGTGTTTACTCATACGTTAACCCTAATGTGAACAACGTATTTCTCATAACACTAATGGACGGAGGGGGTCAGATGACCCCCATGGCATTTCAAAAGTTGAAGAGGTATCGTCAATAGTAAGGTACCATCATATTGTAGGTCATTCAAAACTTTCGAGGTATTATTTCTTGTATTAAATCTCAAAAAGTATCTTGAAGCCAGTTTTAAAAAATAAACGGTGCGTTTTTAATAAACAGATATACAATGCATAATCTCTTCTGAATTGATGAATGTAACCCAATTCATCGATATTCATGCTAATAATGCATTTTACATGCATAATTTTGGCATAAAATGACTTCTTGCAAAAAATCTTAAGTATATTTTGTTGTTTCCAAAGCTAGCTTTCAAATTGGTTTCATAAAAGCCAGTTTCTTGGTGACTACAGAAGCCGGCTTCTGTAGTACGTCAAAAGCCGGCTTTTAAAATTGCCTTCTTGGTGACTGCAGAAGCCGGCTTTTTAAAAGACGGCTTCTTGGTGACTGTAGAAGCCGGCTTCTGTAGTACGTAAGAAGCCGGCTTTTTAAAAGTCGGCTTCTTGGTGACTGTAGAAGCCGGCTTCTGTAGTACGTGAGAAGCCGACTTTTTAAAAGACGGCTTCTTGGTGACTGTAGAAGCCGGCTTCTGATGTACTATAGAAGCCGGCTTTTTATATTTGCCATCGACCCTTTCTCCATATTTCCGGTGACATTCAAGTCAGAGCTGTTTCCAGGAAACTGAAATAAACTATATATTTGGCTAAACACTAAGTTTTTAAATGCCTGTAACTTTTTACCATTTGTATGTTAAACCATGATACTTTGCGAATCAATGTTACTTTGGATGAGCTTTAAAATGATATATGACACATACTATGGAGACATTGGTATACGTCTGCCAAGGGGGGGGGGCATACTTTCGGGACACCCTGTATATACCATGACTTCAAAAGCTTTTTTAATATTTTCTTAATATTATTTCCATTTTGGTCTTTTTCCAGCTTCATGTGTTAGATGCAGGATGTGGCACTGGGAACTACAGTCTTGCCCTGTTGAAGGAAGGACTGGGGCATGTAACACTCTTGGACGCATCTGAGGGAATGCTGCATGTTGCAAAAAAGAAACTTAAAACGTTCATTGAAGGTAAAGGTATATATTTGGAGCTCAGAGTTCTAAGGCCTTAAGGCCCCTAAAATTGGGCCTTTTTGGTCATTACTGGGGCTTTGAAGGCCTTATTTTTTAATTTCAGGCCAAATGTTGAAGCCCATTTTCTTCAAAATTTGGCCTGAAATGGTGTTTTGGGGTTTTACGGACCAACGTTTTTTCTCTGAAATTTACCCCCCCCCCCTGTTGCTTCCCAGATCCGCCCTGATCGATGTCTATGAGTGTAAACTTCCCTCAACTAAGTTTAACATAACAAGTGAGTTTTGCTCTTCAATTCAAGAATTTTGTATAACGAATATTTTCTTTTTTAAAACCCTTCAGTTCAAGCTTTATTCTTTCAGTCTATTTTCAGTAACGTAGCTTCAAACTCCTTGCCCCAGAATTGGGCCAAAAGGTCCCCAATCACCAGACTCCAGACTTCAGACAACTTCTCTTTTATAATTCTTATGCTGGGCTACATATAGCCCCAGCATTAAGTTTAACCAATAGAAGTATCAGGGTCTGAAGACAAGTTAAAGATGCAGACTTACATCAAAGTTACATATAAGATTATACAGCATACTACACAAAATCATGCAATAATATACACGTATCATAATCCAGTACCCTTAAATGATAACGCAGTTTATACACATGAGGGGTAAACGTATTTATATTTATGATTATCGACTGGTATACTTCCCGCTTGTATGGACTATTGCAAAAATGCCTGCCATAAGAGGGAATCCCTTGAGATGACGGGCATATTTCGACCAGTATAATAATTTAGAGATGGCATTTCATTGGCTTTCAGAATGTCTCAAGGACCTTCTTACTGATTACGAAAGTTAAATTACTCAGATGCGAGTAGGTAGTTACCAGTTTCACCACCAGGTGGCTGATTCGGGGGAATTAACATGGCAGGGTATTACAAGATTCCCTTAAACTTGAATATGCATCAGTTTTAATGGTTCACTTTTCATATTACCTTCATGTATCTAATAGTTATACAAATTAAAATATGTCCAGTAAAAGAAAATATTATCTGCCCAACACAAGAAAAGATATTTCACTTTTTGTGGTTTTACAACATGGGGTCTATGGGGAATCTCCCCGACCTAGAAGTCACATTTTCAAAGAAAATTAAATTTTTTTTAAAGTTGATAAACTCTTTTCAAAACCACATTTCTAAATGTAACTTTACATGTAGATTCCAAATATGACATCAGTTTGACTGAATTGTGAATTTTTAATGACAAAGCATTTTAGAGTTCATTAAAAGACCACGTGCAGTATGGCAAGTGATTTTAGACAGTCATATCTTTCACCATGAGTACTTTCTGGCCATAAATACAGTGGCTTTTATTAAAACAATATATTTTCTTTCAAGTGAAGTCCCCATGATAGTAAAATATCAATCCAACTCTCTGAAAAATTATGGATTAGGGCCCCACCTTGGCACTTTTTGAAAAATGTTAGGGCTATTTTCTAAAAAGAGGATCTTGTTTTTCTCAATTTAAACATATCGAACGTCTCCTCTACACTTTATTAACAATTTCTGAAAAGGGGATGGGTATTGAAATGAGTTAAAGTTAAAAAACACATATCCCATGTTATTTTCCCATAGGGAAAACTCGTGCTATCCATTGTTTTCAGCATTATTTTGGTCATCGAAAATTGATATCTTCAAAACTAGACTTTTAATACCATTCTACTTTTGGAGATGCCTTAGACCCCTTGTTGAATAATGTTTTCATGCAATGGAAATCAGAAAAAGAAGATCCTCTTTTGAGTAAATAGGTTCAATAATTTGAAAAAATGTTGACATGGGGTCCCTATTAAAAAAAACGACAACTGTATTTATGCCCAGAAAGTACTCATGGTGAAAGATATGACCGTCTTAAATCACTTGCCATACTGCACGTGGTCTTTTCTGAATTGAAACATGATACTTTTTTAGTAGTTACACAGAGACACAATTCTTTGATTGCAAAAAAATTGTTACTTGTATTGACTATAGGTATTCAATAAAGAATATATATTTTAAAATAGAGGAGTGTTTGTGGTGACCTTATGAACTTACAGTTATTTACTTCGTTTGATACCTATGTATTATGACAATCAAACCCTTGCATTTAGCAAACGTGACATTGGTGATTCAAAAATATTATTGTGGACACAATAATTCGAAGAGATCTCTCTGAATGGTAATATTTGTTAACGATTTCATAGTCACTCCCTATCAGTGGTAGAGAGTGCAGGTTTTTCTGAAACATTTTTAAGGAATTGTAATCATATGAGGATTATCGTAGGAAACCAAATACCAGATTTTACATTCTAGAGATAACCAACGTTTTCAAAAGGCCTTGGTCAAGCTTTTATGTCCTGTTTGAGAACCCCGATTCTTTCTATTGAAATCGATCATCTTTGAGTTCCTCTGAGCTGAGCAAATGTATATGTCCCAATGCGTGATGACATGGTGATATGCAGCCTTGAAGTCAATTGTGTATATTTTATTTTTTATTTATTTATTTGCCAAACACTTTTTAATCAGTGGCACAATGGAAAATTCCAGTGCGGCAGTACATAAAACAAATACATATTCATAAAATACAATACAATACAGATAGATAGATAGATAAAATAAATATGTTAAATTGTACATAGTCTATGTTATGAGTTTAAAATATCGTTATTAATAGTCACTAAAAATTGTTTGACACACTTGTACCGGGCTCATTGTAAGTCAATTCACCCTTGCTGAAATCCTCATTTTCTCAGAAGAACTCGCTTTGAATCTCAACAAGTAGATTCGTGTTAGGCAGTATTACTAAAACTCATTTCAATGGTAAGAGTATGGCTCTATTCGTTCAAAGCAGTTTTTAAAATGATCGATTTCTAACATGTTTGGTAAAAAAAACTATGGTATTTCACAATGAATATATTGTGATTTCATTTTTTGTCCTATTGATGTGCCCACTCATATTTCATTCTATTGCAATAAATAATAGTCATACTAGGTCGATCAAAAAGTTTCGAAGAAAAGGTATCTTAAATTAAGAGTTTAAAAATGTAAACACTGAATTCTAGCTTAATGAGAGTGAATTAACATGGGATATGTGCTGAGATGAAAGCCTGTATTTCAATTAGAAAGATTTCATGTTTAACTCATTTTTTTATAAAAAATGGCAGTTAGTATAATGCTATTCTCATGCGATAAATATAAATGCTGTTTCATGTGTACCAATAATTTTTCAAATTGTGTAAATGGTACACATTCCTTAATTCCTAGAATTTTCTCTTTAAGGAATTTCCCCAAAAATCAAATGGTACACTGTACAGTTCCAAGCAGATTTTTAGAAAACAGTGAATGTGAATCTTTAATACACACCTTATTGGGTTGTTTTGGTCCTCAGACCTTAAGGAGGATTGGCCCGATTGCAACATCGATATTTGGTCCTATATATGGGGATGGCGTGCTACAAAATTCCAACAGCCGCCTTTTTATTCACTTCAACATTTGAATCGCGAATTTTGGCCCTAAGTCCTAACGAAAAATTCCGATACTCACAAGAACTGATCGAGATATTCGCTCAAATCTTATGAATTCTTTATTTTGATTTTATTATCCGTATAATTTCAGAAAATAACGACATTTCGGCGTTTTCATTGTTGGAAAATATCGACTTTAATTCTGGGGGCCAATCCTCTTTGGTCACACATTTTGCATTTATCACATTTTAAAAGCCATAAACAACATAGACGCTATGCGATACATCTTTGGAAAGCAGAATCAAGTGTTAAGTTTAGACTGATATTTCTGATATTAGATGAATGGTTTGGTGGGTTAGTGTTGGAGGGATCATCATACTTTAAGATGTTTAAGCTTATTTATTTTAACTCATTGTCTTTACAGATGGCAGGGCAGAGGTCAAACGCGGTGTCATGCCAGATCTAGACTTCCCCGATGATACATTTGATGCTATTATGTTTAACCAAACACTTCATCACGTAGAGAACTCACCAAACTCCGAGGGAGAATATCTAAAGATCTATAAAACGTTACAAGCGAGTTATATTTTTAATTTTAATTTTCCATCCTCGAATAGTGTAATGATGTTTTGTACTTGTACGTTGTGTGCTCGGACATTCTAGCGAGCGAGCGGGTGATATTAAGATAGGACTAACGTTTGATCTTTTTAACTCCAATGTCCGCAAACTTTTTTATAACACTAAATCACAAGGGAGTGGGGTCATTTGGACCCCCCCCCCCCCTCTGCGATTTTTATAACTTGTCTGATTGCAATATTGAGGGTATGATTGTAAAGGTAAACCTTATTGAATAACCTCTTCAGAAAAGTTTTGTTTGTCAACAAAGGTCAAAGGTTATCATTTTTTTACTTCTTGATAAATTGGAGGAACTCGTAAAGCGAGTTACGTAGACGGATCCGTTTTCGTAACAAAATGGCGCAAACAATTTCCACAGATATAAACAGATTCAGCACTATCTCTTTTGCACAAACGTGTGTCAGGGTCTAATGTTTCAGAAAATCCAAGCTTATGTGAACGTTTTTTCTTGTAAGACTGCGAAATCATGAATTTACTTCCTCACTCAAGTTACGTAAACGAATGGGCTAAAAAGTACAGCAATCACGAAAACGATGAAAATTATGTAAAGTTAACGGAATAATTCTCAAGATAAGGTAAAAGTTTACACGCTCAGTTGATAAAGTTGGCAACACAAATGTTAATTGATATTTTTTTTGAATTTGTTATACGTTCACTTGCAGTCTACAATCGTTGAATAGAGCCACTACAATTAGTTTCGTTTAGTGCGAACGGTGCAATATTCAACTTTGACCTACCCGAACCTCCTAATGTAAAACTAGGAAATAGCAAATGCACGGAGTAACCAATTCAACCGCAGTGGAGTGGCAAATCCCCGAGCAAATCCAACCGAACAAAACATATTTTGATGTGATGCGATCCCGGATGCGATGCAATTAGTAAATACTTTCTTGAGCAGAGGTCCCATGACGATAAATCATTACCACATAAGATTTGCACCAAATCCTGTAACTCCAACAATGGAATCCATTTTTAAAATATGATTATGATATTTGATATCAACTAGCAAAGATGGTAATGGTGGATGAATGCATATAAATAAACTATGAACATTTAGCATGAATACTTTTTGAACATTTATTCCAATATATGAATTATTTACGAAAAATGATACGTTTTCCATGTATCATAGATGCACCCGGAGATGCACATTAAGTACAGTTGGGGACAAAAATAAATGACAGGTCGATTTTCGATTACCATTTCCTAATTATGGTCGTCTGAAAGCCCATAATTTCCAATATTGTCTAGATACATATCCCTTAAAATTTGTATGTTTCACATTTTGTATAATCTCATCCACTGATGTATGGCCTCTTGAAAATTCTCTTATTTTTAACATGGGAAATTCTCACTTCAGCAAATCCACCTGTCCTTTATTTATGTCCCGAACTGTAGTTTGACGCAGTATAATAACCATCCATAGATAGGCTACGTCACTGAATGAAACTACATGTAGTTAAAATATAACCTTACCAGTCGGAATCTTGCCTAGATGCGAGAAAGGGGACATGCTGTCTTTCCCATCTGCCAATTTTTGTTACCGTAAAATTTGGCAAATCGCCTCGCCGTGACCGTCATGGTAAACAGCGTGATTATTTGATTGAACATATAATGAAACGAAAATCGTCTCTTAACAACTGCGTCGGTGGTGTAAAGGTTAGCATTGTTGCCTTCCAAGCAATAGATCCGGGTTCGATTCCCGGCCGACGCATCGTTTTTAATGTTTTAATTTATGTTACGAGGAATTGATGATATTTCAAGTAAAACATTTGATATTTCAAGTAAAACATTTTATTATTTGAAATGAAGAATTATAATCAAATAAAGTTCCTAGCATTGTTGCCTTCCAAGCAATAAAAGTACCCTTTGCATTCGTTTGACTTCACTTCTTAAAAGAGAGATTCGTCTTCTGTGTAGTTTAACTAGACTCTGCAAGCAGGGTACAATAAAAGCGGCTTCACGTCTTTTATTCGAAACAAATAACCCTTAGGTTGAAACGATTATTTATTGTGAACTATATCGCGTGTCCCAAAAATGAAAAAATGAGCCACGTTTTGACAAGTATTATCTCAGCAACCGATCAACCAAATTCACTGGAAAGGAGAACCCCCGAGCGATAAGGAGAGCTTTTTAGGAGGACAATTGCTTTTTTATTCTGAATGAGATCAACATGGAAGTTTAACACTACATCAGAGATGATCTTAGATATTAGGTGATTTTAGATATTCCCAAAAACAACTTGTGTGATGTAAAACTTGAATTGCTTTTTTAAGAACATTTTTTGCAAGGCAATGAACTCGTTTTTTTAAGGTTAGACTCTTTATTTGTGGTTAAAATCCGTGTATGGCCTGATGGGATAGGAACAAAGTGTCACAGTTAGTGGGGGGAATTTAGTGGAAAATATTTCAAATGGTGATACAAGCAAATTTATTGGCTTAATCTGTTATTTAAACTATTTGGAAAAATTCTGTCCCTGTGATCGATCAAACGAAACACTATTTCAGGAAAAAATTCAAGATGGCTGCCGTATATGTGTAATTCGATACAAATGACACTTTAGATTCATATATAGAGATATATATGGTTTAAAATTATATTGATTCAGTAGTAAAGCATGTACATTATATCTAGAAATACAGTTACATTCATTAATGAGCTGAATTTGGGCAAAATGACTTTATATAGGGATTCTACAAGGTTCTATTTTGAGAGCACTCTTATTTTGCAACAACTTTAGTCATTAAACTTGTGTTCTTGAATAATGTTGACATTTCACACATTATTCAATCTAATATTTCAAGTTTACATGAAAACACTGTCTTACAAGTACCAAGGAGACTTTGAAGGAGTCCCGCAAGGTTCTACTACACTCCATTATTATCACAATCTCTTGGAATTCGGTGGAAAATATTCAAAATTGCGATATGATGCAAATTTATGGGCTGTCAGTTATTTATGCAAATAAGAAAAATTCCATCCCTCAAATCAGCCAAACCTAATGCTATTTCAGTAAAAAATTTAAGGTTGTCGAAATATGTACATAATTCAGTAGAAATGACACCTTAGATTCATACATAGAGATAATATGGTTAAAAAATAGGTTCACTCAGTACTAAGACATGCAAATATATTTAGAAATGCTATGATCTTCTTTGATTTGAATTTTGGCAAAAAGAGTTTTATAGGAGTTCTTCAAGGTTCTATTTTGGCCCTCTCTGTTAGAACTTGAATTACTTTATAACATTCTCTAATACATTTAATATCTAAGACATAATTCAAGAATATATTTCAAGTTTGAATGAGAATATTGTCAACCAAGTATCAATGCAAACATTGAAGTAGTCTTCCAAGGTTCTACCTTAGTCCATTATTATCACAATCTCTTAATAGTATGATGAAATAAGGGCAGGTAGACAAGACAATTACACAGAATTACATGTGGAATTGCACAATACTGTACATTTAAGTACAGATTTTTTACAAAAGCAAACTAAACATGTCTAGAGACTTGCTGGGTTTAGAGCCCCATGTCGAGTTGTCTACAGTGAGGTCAATAGTAAAGGCCATGTGATGTTGCAGCTATAACACAGCTAATAGCAGAAACAAAGCAACACAAAACCAACTTGCCAATTGTATGGCTTGATATAACTAAGGCAGCAGTGTACCACACAAATGAACTCAATAGCTTTGAAGCATTATAATGTTCCTCAACATGTGATTGGTTTGAGGCCTTGAGCACCTTTAAGGTATTCAGTTGAGATTCTTGACTGAAACAATCACGACTGGTTGGCAGCCTTTAGAGAAGGGAATCATGGCAGGCTGCATATTGCTATTCATGGCAGCTATGAACATCCTTCTAAAAGGAGTCACAAGGAGTGCAATGAATTTAAAATGAGAAGTGGTAACCCACATCCAAAGTACTAGTATCACATTTTCATGAATTGATGGGGTCACTCTAGCAAATGACACTGAAATAGCCATTCTGTGTATCTTCATTGAACTAAAAAACCTAGTAACCTGGGAATCATATCAAATGTTGCATTCTCCTGGAAGCTCCCTGTCATTTCCTTATAGAACACTAAATGACACAAAACTTACCCAACCAACTAGGTAAGGCAGGACGGCCTAATAGAACATCAAAGTGTTGACCCAATTGTCACAAGTACTTCAAACTGCCTAAAGAGTCCTAAAGCAACATATGTGATTCAGGCAACAGATTGGAAGGTGAGTTATTGTAATGACTATTACAATGAGACTCCTTTATTGCCCAAATGACTTGATTGTCATCACATCAGAACAATATGATAGTCCCTTTTCTGGCTGTTAAATTCTGCTGGAGTTACAGCAACAGAGTGGAACAAGACTCTCTTAGAAATAGGCCAAACAGAAAAATGGTAACTATGGCTGCATTGTGCAGAGCTGGCTGAATAACTGAGTGAGGTTTGATCAACCTGTTTTCCAACCTCTCTGAGTTTGTATGCAGCTTTAGGGGTAGAAGCAGAAAAAATGGAAATTAAACTGACAAAAAAGACTAAAGCTGCTAATCACAATAAAACATGAAGGACAATAGTACCACAAGCAATGATACTCCATTGTTAAAACTCATGTCAAAATTCTGCAATTATTTTCTTGCTGGTGTCAAAGTAATGGTGTTGTAGTTGTAAAACATGGTATTGGTAAATACATTGATATTGATAAATCTGCAAAACTCACTCAGTACTCAATGTTCAGTTGTTTTGGCGACTTCAATTGTTTTGGCAATTTACACACATTGATTTTGTTGTAAATTACTGCATTTGAAAGTGTAAAGAATAAGAAGGGTGTCAAAAGTGAACCTTAAACGGCTCCTATGTAATAATGACTTTTAAAAACTGATTTTGTTGTAAATTAGTGAATGTATATTCCTAATTATAGAACAGAAGTACCGATGATGTTAA